TACCAAAAAGATCGCCGGAGGAGATACAATAATTTCAGAGTTCAGATTCGATTATAGCATATCGAAAGCCAAAAATTAGACTTGTTATAATATCTATGGAGCATTCTCAAAATAATGTAATGGTGAAATCGCCAACTAGATTGCTTAAGTTTCAGCATTTGTCAAATATATTCGGGCCTTTAACATTCAGCCGTATGAGTTTCGAACATCAAGTCTCTGAAATAATTTTACTTTAAAAAGTAAAATCCAGAAAAGAAAAACCCACATGCATTTATTGCGAAACATGGGTCGACTTTCTAATTAAAGTAGCCGAGTTCATATCGATCTCCAAGTAGTGATCGTTAGAATAGAACATTCGATAAATAATTATAAAAATATATTTTCTCAAAGTGTCAAGACAGAACAGCCTTGGAACTAGGATCAGATGCAGGAAGGCAATCACCTACTCATCTTAAACCTCTTGATGACAGAAACCTAAATAAACAAAGACACGAATAATTATGAAATCAATCATTAGCAATATCATATCATGTTCTCAAAAATGTTAAGCAATAACTATCAAGCAAAAGGAAATGTGAGAATCCGTGAAGCCAACGAAGAAAATCAGTGTCGATCCTCAATTTATGAAGCATGTCACTGCAAAATATTTCGGGATTAGCGGCCACGGTCGAAAGTTAGAAGGTCCATACAGCCTTAATTATATCAGACTCTGAAGAAATAGGTTGGGATTACCAAAAAAATGCAAATGCTATTGTAACGTATTGACACATTTTGGCACTCTTCAACTGCTACTGAATGGGTTGTAAACTACGAAGTCTACTTGATCATTCAGATCTCTGTAATATAAATATTCATATATACCGGAAGGACTGTTGACTTGAGGTGGTCGGATCACATCAATWTACTCTTTGTAGGTTGGGTGAGTAACATGGAGAGTGGTTAGRGGAATTCAAATATAAAAGTTTAAAGAACAAAACAAGTTAATTGGAATAACAATGAAATCTGCTTGAAATGATAAGATAAGATAAAAGAGGCATACAATGTGACGGTATTTAAAAATAGGCTTCACTAATTCTCAAGGACATAAATACCAACAATAATAGGTTTCGATRTTTTGACAATGATTGAATAGCACATTTTCTAATACTTGACCCCAGGACTTGCTGGAAATAAGTTGAGTTTCGAAAATTCGTAAATATACTGCGAAAATTCGAACTTGAATTTCGAAACTTGAAAATTGCGAATTTTTTTTAAATTTTGAAACTTTTTGTGTTTATTCACTGTGTATACACAAACAACACCTTTTGTTTGAATGTAATAACAAGAAGTTTCGTAAAATAATATAGATATAACAAAATAAAATTTTGCACATGAACATCTCAGATTTTCTGTAAATAAGTTTATTTTAATTTCGAAAATTCGGAAGTTAACTTCGAAAATTCG